GAGCAGGTTCCTTACAGGGATAACTGAGCAGGTTCCTTACAGGGATAGTTGAGCAGGTTCCTTACAGGGATAGCTGAGCAGTTTCCTTACAACTATAACTGAGCAGGTTCCTCACAGGGATAACTGAGCAGGTTCCTTACAGGTAGAACTGAGCAGGTTCCTTACAGGGATAACTGAGCAGGTTCCTCACAGGGATAACTGAGCAGGTTCCTTACAGGCATTCACTTCAAGTTCCAGCCCTGTTTCCTGCCTTTACCAGAGACTGTATTGTCTGGAAGTCAATGGACAGGGACAACCAGCAAATAAACACTATATCCAAGGAAATCTGCCACATAAGCCTTTTGAAATTCAATCTCCCAGTGTTTTTCTGATGCGAGTGAGTGCTACTCAACAGGTATCACAAGCCAAGCTCCAGTCTTTGCCTTTTTAGTTTCCAGGAGCAGGATCAATAAAAGGCTCTGCAAAACACTAGATTATGGGCTGAGCAGGCTGGATGCAGAAGCCAAATTAACAACCTGCCATGGTGTAGAAAGCTGCAGATTTGCTCTGATGAATGGAGCTCATAGTAATTATTTTTTTTTCGGAGTGCGAATTGAAACATTATTGTACAACTATTAGTTTCCAGGAAAAAATGTAATTGCTTCTAGATGCTGCTCGCTGTTTTCAAGAGCTCTTTAACCTTTAACTTTTTCAGTACAAAGGAAGCCTTGCTGTGCAGTGAATCTAACAAGACCATCATTTATAGTTGGCAGAGTTCATTAGTCAGTCGTAACAGTTTAATTATTAGCATTTTAATGCATGAGTGTTTAACTAGACAGAACAACAGTCTTTTAGGTACAGCTTGAGACTTTTTAAAAGAAAACGAACTAATTGGTGCTGTTGTTTATACTGTGGCTCAAATTAGACAACTAAAATTCAAGAAATTTAGCGTCAGATTTTGTCACTCATTAAATTAACATTATATTTGATGGCCTTTTCAGTACATTTCAGCTTTAATGAAAATATTTCTCTTTATAGAAATAAAAACTCTTTCGTCTTTTGTGTCTTGAAAAAGAGTTGTGGTGAACTGGGCAAAGCCAATTTCTTCAGTTCAGTCCCTGCCTCAGAGACTTCTTTTGCTTTAAGTTGAATTCTCTTCAAGCTATCTCTGCTTCAGAATTAGTAATGTGAAGCTACAGTGTCCACCATGAGACACATTACTACTTATCTGAGGTAAATGAATAGTTTAAAAATTAAAAAGCTCCCTATATTTTAAAAAGACTAATTTTTAAAAATTTGATTAAAATGCATTCATCAGTCCATTTTTCCTTTTCTGGAAAAGGTTTGGTGAAAATTTTCTTCTCTACACTTTAAAATAATTCCTTAGTATGATTTTTTTTCTATAATATACTTTATTTAATACCTGTAGGAACCCATTTTTTTCCCCTTTTTTTATGGATTGCTGGAAATAACAGTTGTGTGGGAGCTGGAGGTCTGAGTGGGAACAGGTAGGATTGCTTGGGAGATCAAAGGCAGGCAACTAAAAAATGTGGATACTTATCAGAACAGCCCTTCCGGCCCCTCAAAGAACCTCATTTCTAACTGTGGACCCAAAGAAAACAGGTGACCGTGGATTATCTTTGTTCTCTTGGCAGGTTAATGGTGCTGGCACAACAGGCACTAGGACATCCTATGGTGCTGTGTCATCCCACGGGAACGATGCCACCAAAGTGGCACAGCCTCTCTGTGTTTTACACGGGTATATGTTGAGGGATAACTTCTGTCAGTCCTTTTCAACCTCTGTTGCACTGTCACCAACAAACAAGGCACGACATATTCCCTCCTTTCAGCCCCCTTTGTTCTGCTTTCCCTCTGATCCCTCCTTCCTCCCTTCCCATCCCTCCCTCTCCCCTCTGGAGCATGATGTCCTTCCTGGATTAAAGCAAGGCATGGGCTGACAAGGCATAGGAGCATTTTGGTGGGTGAGAGGCTGCAGATAGATTGGCTGGTTATTGTTTTAAATCCTGGAGTGCCACACTGGTTTAGATTGGTGGTCCCACCCTTGCACGTGCCACGGTTTGGCCCCTGAGGAATCTGCATGGACAGCAGGTCTTACCCCGGGGGCAGTGACTGGCTTCTGCAAATTATGGGGTGTCCTAAGAGCTGGTAAATTAGAGGGTTTCAGGAGCTGACCCCTCAGTTACTTCTTCTCCACCATCTGACAGGTGATGGTATGTGGCTCAGAGAGTTCTGCAGACTCTCAGCAGTCCTGTGGGCGATGCTACCGGCAAATCATTTTTTTTAAGATTTCCTGATAAACTGACTGTCTCTCTGCAGCATTCCTGTGTTTTTTGGATGATGAAATGTGTTGCAACAAGACTGAAGTACCATTTAAAAACTGTCCCTTGTTGCAATTTATTGCAGACAGAAGTGTTCATCATATTTACAGTGTTCAATTAGAAGCTCCAGGTTTCACGGAAGGAAGAAATACCTATTCAGTTGGAGTGTATAATGACACCTATCCAGTTTCACAGGCATTTTATTAGAACTCCTTAATTTTAGCAGGATATTTATAATCAGAAATAAACATTTGCTGTGGAAATGCCTTTTCCTCCACATTTCCAGACACAATGTGTCCTTAGTCAGACAAAGGGCTTTTATTTTCAAGAAACGGTATTTCAGAGCTGGAAATGCCAGCTCCCTGG